GCTCAGGGGATGATCCCTGCCCTGCGCCTGCTGCCCACACCAGTGCTGGGCCAGCCCAGGATGGCGCTGGCCACCTTGGCCACTGCTGGCCCCATTCAACGCTGGCCGTGCCAGTGCCCCCCCTGAACCCCTCTTTTCTTCCTACCAGGCTCAGTAAAAGCCAGAGCGGCGACGAGGAGGGACCCCTGAGCGACAAGTGCAGCCGCAAGACCCTGTTCTACCTGATCGCCACGCTCAACGAGTCCTTCCGCCCCGACTACGACTTCAGCGCGGCCAAGAGCCACGAGTTCAGCCGGGAGCCCAGCCTCAACTGGGTATGGCAGCCACGCACCCCAAGGCCATCCTGCTGCTGCCCTGCAGGGATTTCGGGGGGATGCCCTTGGTTCCCTAGGGAGCCCTACAGCGCTGCGGCCACCCCAGGCCATGCCCCTGAACGGGGCTCTCCTCGTCCTTCCCAGAAGAGGGTTTGTGGGATGTTTTCCAGTAGCCGTTTTGGGGTGTTTTTGTGGAAATCTGGGCCTCTCAGGAGCAGGGCTTTTCGTGCTGGCCGTGGTTTGGGGGCTCTTTCCCAGGGCGTTGGGAGGAATCGGTGGCGTTGGGTCTTTCCTGCCCGGTGCCACCGTCCCTGTGCCCGTGTGGCTCTGCACCGAGCGCCGTCCCTTTGTCCATCTCCTTGCTCCCACCTGCGGGCCCTGCAGTCCCAGGGCGCTGCCAGGCCCTCCTGGGGTGAAAGTCCCAGTCAGGGCTTCTTGGCTTCACATGGGGCAAGCTGGGTGCAATCCAGTTCAGGATCGCATGGTGGGATACCAGCATGGGATTCAGAGTGGGATCCCGGCATGGGACCTGGTGCGGGATCCCAGCGTGGGACCTGGTGCGGGATCCCGGCATGGGACCTGGTGTGGGATCTGGTGCAGGATCCTGGTGTGGGATCCGGTGCAGGATCCCGGCGTGGGACCTGGTGCAGGATCTTGGTGCGGGATCTGGTGCGGGATCCCGGTGTGGGACCTGGTGCAGGATCCCGGTGTGGGACCTGGTGCGGGATCCCGGCGTGGGGTCTGGTGTGGGATCGCGGCGTGGGAGCGTGCGGGATCCCAATGTGGGACCTGGTGCGGGATTCCCGGCGTGGGACCTGGTGCGGGATCCCAATGTGGGACCTGGTGCGGGATTCCCGGCGTGGGACCTGGTGCGGGATCCCAATGTGGGGCCTGGTGGGGGATTCCCGGCGTGGGACCTGGTGCGGGATCCCGGCGTGGGATCTGGTGCGGGATCCCGGCGTGGGATCTGGTGCGGGATTGTGGCGTGGGATCCGGTACAGGATCCTGCTTTGGGATCCTGCCATGGGATCCAGTCCTTCCTGCTCGCTGCCACCATCCCTATGCCTGTGGTGCTTTACCACGCACCACACAGTGAGTGGCTCTGCACCAAGCACTGTCCCTCTGTCCGTCCATCCATCCATCCCTTTGCTCCCACCTGCAGGCCCTGAAGTCCCTCCTTGGTGCCAGGTCCCTCCTGGTCCCTGCCAGGATCCCGGCATCCCCCAGGGTTTTGGGAGGAGAGCGGTGGAGGGAGGCAGTGGGGAGGGGGCAGCAGCAGCCCTTGCCCCTCTGACAGCCCTGCTCGCCCTCTCCAGGTGGTGAACGCCGTCAACTGCAGCCTGTTCTCTGCCGTCCGCGAAGATTTCAACGCCCTGAAGCCACACTTGTGGGACGCTGTGGATGAGGAGATCTGTCTGTCCGAATGTGACATCTACAGGTACAGGGACAAGCGCTCCCTATTACACCTGGAGCCTGTCCCTGCTCCGTGCATGCTGCAGCCTGGTGAAAAACTGGTTTTCCAGTAAAATGTTAGGTTTTTGGTGCACACACTTCCCTGCATGTCAGGGGGGCTCCTCAGTGGTGGTCACTGCCTGTGGAGGGGGAACCGGTGCTGCCTGCCCCTCGTCCTCCTTCCAAAGCCAGGGTACAGCTTGGCTCCTGCCGCCCACCTCTCACTATAGCCCCGGGCTGCCTGGTTCTGAGGCTCCTGGGCAGCTCCCAGTTTGCCCAGTTTCCTTCCCTCAACACGCAGCTGGAACAGGACCAGGGTTGGTGCTGGGGTCAGCACCGGGTGCGGGGTTTTTCACCCCTCCCCGTGCTGTTGCAGCTACAAC